TCATTTTCTAACTAATTTCACTTAATCTTTGTGTAATCCTGACATTATTGATAAACTTCTGCCAACTTTCGCAAAAGCAGTGCTCATTTATTTTACTTAAAGAATAAACAATTTGCATGACCATTTTTTTTTTAAGGAAAACCAAAGAACACGGGAGGACGGAACGAATAGCGATTGAAATGGATCACCTATCACTAACAAGACCTTGAATAAGGCACTCAACCAATTGGGTACGTTTGCCACACTATCATACCAGAACTAGATAAATATTCAGCAGACAATCAACGTGGTATGTACCCATTTCCTATCAGCATTGCTATACCAGTGTAGAGAGAGAGGCAAGTTCTACTTTGAGAGGCGGTTCTACTTTGTTCAAAGCTCATCTTCACAGTCCCATTGACAAAGTGACTACTCTTGGGAAACACCTCAAGGCCAAGGAGATCCATTGCTGCGAAGGTATCATATTTCTGGCTTCCGATAGTGCTCCAATAAAGGTAATCGAATTCAAAGAAGGATCGATTTACATGACAAACACAGAAAAGAAGGAGGATGATCTAATCCAGTTGGCTACAACATTGAATGTATCACCTGCTGGGACTGTTGCAGAGATAACGTCAAGGCTAAAAAAGTACTCTGAAGCTGTCAAAAACCAGTATTTAACGCACACTGTCTGAAACGACGAAATTCGTTTCTGGGATAGAGCAATGCAGCCAAGCTTTGAAGCTATGGTTTGTGTAGACAGTGATTTGATTTATGCAGCTGAAGTCATTGATAAATCAATCATCTCCCTCCAAATAGAAAAGGACGGTGTTGGTGTTAATGGTATGAATGTTCAGACAATTATTCCTTACAGGACCACCTGGCAGAAGGTAAACAGCATGTGCCTTAATAACAGGAATCTATTCCTTTCACATGGGTAAGGTATAAGCACTGTCAATCAACAAACCTGTGAATACAGATAAGCCATGGAGCTTACAAATCAACCCTGTGTTCTGACAAGTTTTGGCAAAGACGTCCTTTACACAAACCAAACGAACGCGTCTGTATGGCAACTAAGTGATAACGGCAATGACCTACATTTGTTTGCAGGCTCTGACCAAGAAGAAGGGAGTACTGATGGCCTGGTCAAAGAGTGTTGCTTCAAGATACCAGTAGGCATCTGCTCCAAGTTTGAAAGTGTGGTTTATGTTGGTGATGCTCAGACGAACTCCATCAAACTCTGTGCCAAACTAAAAGAATGCGCGCACTTTCTCACAGCAATTGGCTGTCTCTACGAAGTCTTTTCCATGCACGACAGAGGTGCTCATATCTCAGTCAAGTCTTCAGAAGAAGCCATTGGTCTTGTGGGGCAGTGCAGAGATGCTTGACGAGAACACCCGTGACATTCAAAAGTTGACTGGCATCCACACAACACTTAATGGACTGCAGGGGCATGTGTCTGCCAGGACAATGGCATCAGTTGCCATGATAGAAACAGGTCTACACAGATTGCATGCTAACCTGAAACAATTTAAGTACGACCACACAAACCTGTTAAGCTGCATGATGCTTGATGTTGAGAACTACCACGCTACTGTACACGTAAAGCAGGTAAACTTATCCCAGGCTGAGCACTGCAAGTCATTTGGAACTACTACGAAAGAGACGGTAAAACGCGTAACTAACTGGGTAGCGTACTATCAAACGAGCAGGCGATCATGGTACCCCACCCAAAGAGAGTGCCTTGTTGCTGTCCCAGGTTCCTGTGATGAAATCTCTTCCTATTGTCAACATGTGTCAAGCAGACTGTGATTCACTTAGGGACTGGGCCACCTCCTATGGAGCTGCCATAAGACAGCAAACTGTACGCCAAGAGACCACTATGGCACAACATGTTACACTCCCTGAGTTTATGTACCAGAGATAATGTGAAATCTTTGAGAACGCTGTCTCCATTGCATTTGACGTGCAGTCTGATGATACTTCAGACAATGCTGCAGAAAACCAGTTGGAGGAAGAGGAGGGAGACAATTTTGATGAAAGCAGTGATGAAGAAGTTGAAGATTTAATATTGCTCCAAGGGGAAATTGGAATTTCAGCAACATTCTTAATAGGTGCAAGAACTCGGAACAGAAGAGCTGTACGTTTTAACAATCGTCTTTTCCATCGAACGTGAACTCTCTACGAGACAAGGTCACAATTCTAGAAGAAACATTTATTCCACATTCCACAATTAACACAGGGTCGTCCAAGGTAATCAGTCACCCAATGCAAGACGTACAGGATCAGTGACAGAGCTTTTCAAAGTCAAGGGAGATATCAATACTCATTCAAGTATGTGACCCAAATACTTGGCATTTGGTCAGTAGTAAATAGAGTATAATAGCATAGTACAACATACCATTAGTGTTACGATGGTATGTTCAATATTAGCGTACAATGTTATCAAATATATCACAAGTCTTGCTGATGTCAGCTTTCATATTGTGGCCTCCATGTACGTGCGGTTTCGGTATTAGGGAAAAATCTGATGCGCTTTTGCCATTTTTTAGCATATTTCTGTGCGGTTTTGCAGTTTTCAGGCCCCCCTTAACCCCCCCCCCCCCCCATGACAGCCTTCTGCCAATTTGCCAAAGCCGCTGACAGAGCTTTTTGTTGAAACAAATATGAAGCTTTCATATATAGAATTGCTGAGTGCGTGTGCTGAAGCAACAATGAAAATCTCCCCAGAAGAATGCAAGGCTGTAGAAGTTGAGACAAGGGATCAAGCCCACGGTAGGCTATGGTTCTCTCTGTGAGCAGGGAAAATCACAGCCTCCCATTTAAAAGCAGCTTGCCACACTGACCCAGTAAAGACCATCTGTTATCCCATGGCTCGTAAATTTTCATCACCAGCAACAAAGTATGGTTCTCGAATGAGTTCATATTTTAAATTACTTCAGGTCTACTCTACACCAGCTTAACACATTATAGCCTTGATACTTTCAGTTACATATACTTTTACTGTCAAAAAAGCTGCCTAAAACACTGTGCATTTCTTTACCTATAGGTGGGGATATGAGCATGAAAAACAAGCAAGGGAAGCTTAGAGAAAAAAAATGTAATCTGTTCATGAGAACTTTCAGATTTTTGACAGTGGCCTGTGGATTAATAAAGACTTCCCCTACCTTGGTGCCTCACCAGATGAGATTGTAAGCTGTGACTGTTGTGGAATTGAGCTGTGTGAAATTAAGGTAACTATATGATGCAAATGTTTTACAAAAATTAAAGCATTATATAGTAGGACCAGGACTTTTATGATGTTAGCAGGGTCTAAGGACCCTTTTTACTATACTCTTTTGCTATAGCAACAGAGTTGAAATGAAAAAAACAGATTAGAGTGCATTTTACTTTGTTTGTTTACAGTGTCCATTCTGTCAAAAAGACTCAATGCTGGATTCTTTAAGTGGCAAAAAGAACAGTTGTCTTGCAGATGGACCACTTGGACCTGCCTTGGACCACAGTCGTGCCTATTTCTATCAGGTAATCCTAGAAAGCAACCTATTGTATGTACAGTCGCTTTTATATAGGTAATCAAATGATTTTGAGTGCAATTTTGAACACACACGGTAAGTACAAGGTAATGTTTGAAGGACTAAAAAAAATTTGCACAGGCCTATAGGGCAAGTGCTACTTGTAGCCTTAAAAAGAATTACAAGTGCTTAATTATTCCAAACTGCAGGAGAAAAATCCTTTGATTACTTGTTAATAATATACATGCAATTTAATTTCAACTTTCTGCACTCCACTTGAACTTTTTGGACTATTTTCAACTTTCTGCACTGTTTGAGATCAATTGACGTGCTCTCAGCCAATCGGCACGCTAACATTATTTTTATGCACATATATTAATATTTGTGCATTGCACTGAAATTCTCTAATTATTACACAAAAGTTTACAGCTTGAGTTTTGTAGACATATGCCTTTTCTTGTCTAGTAAGTCAAAATATCCCACTTTCAAAATTGTTAAAGAACCACAGGTCATTATTTTTCCTCTCTTGTTTAGGTTCAGGGTCAGATATTTATTGTGGCTGTTGACTACTGTGATTTCATAGTGTGGACAGAAAGAGACATGCACATTGAGAGAATAAATCCTGATGTTGAATTCTGGGAATTAGCTCTTACGAAAGCCAAAAAGTTCTTTTCTCTGGGCATTCTCCCAGAGCTCCTTGGAAAATGGTACACACGACCATCAACACCTCCAACTCAGCTACATGGTGATGAAGAATTGGTTGATGATGTTGATGGTGATGAAGAGGAAGGTCCTTTGTGTTACTGCCAGACTGACATAGAAGACAGCAAGCTGATTGGCTGTGACAACCCTGAATGTGCAATACAGTAGTTCCATATGGCTTGTCTCAAACTGGATGTTGCACCAAAAGGAAAATGGTTTTGTCCAACTTGCTGGAGAAATGAGTAGATGCATCACATACTAAAAGAACTTTTATTTTACTATTACTTAATTTAATTGAATTTAAACAGAGTTGCTTTCCTAAGGGGTGGACCATTTGAATTTTCAGGGAGGGGGGTTGTGGGTGATTTAGTGAAGGTATAAATTTTGTTTTTAACCCTTTCTGGCACTAGGAATAATGGGTATGATTTTTTTTTTGGTTCAAGTATGCTTGCAGGATATTTTTTCCTCAAAAGTATCAAAAGTCAAATGGTCCATTCCCAAGTGTATTTTAGTTCCTATGACAGATTAAAATATGTTTAGACAGGACTTTTACTCCATCATCATTCAAAGGGTACAATAGAATCAGACAGATTTGTCAAAGCACAGCACACTCTTGCAATTTTGTCTATTGGTGCCTCTGCATCTCCTGGTTTTGCAGTAGTTAATTTGACAGGCAGGATACTTTGCAAAATCACATACTTCCTCCTAACCAATGACCCTCTCTACATGTATGCATACATTTACAAATTTTCTAGTTTCTTGTATGTCATGAGCTGACAGTTGTCTCTTTCTACGGGTGAAGGCGGGTATTTTGAGGGTAGCTTAGTAAAACCCAACACTGTAAACAATGTCAAATCCCCTATCTGCAAGAACAATATCACCTGGTAATAACTTGTTTAGGAGCCCCCAGTTTTCAGTGAGGTGTTTGTCACTAACATGACCCCCCCCCCGCCCCAAGCCTTACAAAGAAAACTTATACCACCTTAAGGAGTTATTCCAATTAAAAATTTAACAGTATTATGATGTTTGTAATTAGACCAAGTTATAGCTCTAGCAATTAAGCTGGATGGCATATCAGTAAAAAGTTCAAAACAGTCAATTATGACAGCAACTCCGTGTCCAAAATTCTGTCTGAAAACTAAATGCATAGTCTTTCTAAGTTCTTCACACTCTGGCCATCGAATTAGGAAATCCAACCTGACTTGCATCACATCAATCCACCTGCTAGATACTCTTGATGCTGTTGAAACACTGACTTTAAAACCGTATGCTAAATATTGCAAAGGAACATTTAACCACAGACGTAGTAAAACCAACAAATATTCCTGGAATTGGCATAATGCATTGGTACTTGTGCTGACAACATGGGGAGCAATAAGAGTAAACAACTGCATAAACATTGAAAACATTGGAATGCCAGTGTAGAACTGAGTTTTCCCATTATTTCCCTCAAAACTACTTTGGGATAGATCAGAAGTTAGCAACTTGTTTTTTACTTCGCTTGGCTCTGTAAATAAACTTCTGTTGCACTCCTCTAGCTGGTAAATTTGAGCCATACTTAGGTCAGTTTGATATTCTTTGTGAGCGGAAAGCCACTCAATTTGAAAACCAATGCTGCCGCTTTCATGGGGAAATTCTTCACTGTCTTCATGAATTTGTTCTAAGACTTCAAATTCACTACCATACAAGCAGGTTCTTTTTCCATGATCATTTCTTCAAGACAGAACAGAAACAATTTGAGATTTGCTCACAATCTCCTTCTGAAGGCGAGCTCTCTTCGCCACTCGCTCACTCACTCTTTGACAACGGTCGACATCATCATTGCTCAGTGATTTTACTTTGTTATGGCCCAACTTCAAGGTAGGTGTCCAGTCTGAGTCATTCACATTGTAGAGTTGTTACCCCAGACTAACACCTGTATTTGATGTTTTTCTACTTATTTCTTCTCAAATATCTCAAAAATAATTTTCCTAAGTCATAAAATTATAAGTTTTAAAGTTACCTGATATAAAATGAATACTGCAGACATGAGTATAATACTCTCTTCTCCATCAGATCTGCTTGGGAAATTTTTGTGAACCACTATTCCGTCGCATTCGACTCAATTTCTCTGTTTGTTTCCCTTGATTTTTTATTACTGTTGGGAACCAAAAATGAGCAAATTGTTTGTCATTTTTTTGTTACGGCTACAGAAAAAGACAGCACAAAAGACTCCCATTATCATGGAAATTCATTGCAAACCACTAGAGGAGTAAGAGGGTTGAGGTCGCAGCCTGGGTCAAGATGTCATCCAACATGGCCGACTTCCGGTGGAAACCAGATCCTCAATTAATGCATGACGTCAGTTGCAAATGAAGAATTGCAGAAAGTTGGAAAAAATGCAATATTCTTCCCTAAACATGTAGACTGTGTGATGTATTACATTATAAAGGCTATGTCAACAGCTGCCTAGCAATATTGTTTGAAAATAATTTAGTCATTTGACGACTTGTTGACGATAAGATTTTGCGATGTCCTTTTGATTTCATGTGTTACACATCATGGAAACACTATGAAGTTACCTGCAATGCTATTTAAAAGTAACAAATTGTTCTTGGAAAGAAAAAAGTTTCTGTCTTCACTGCTTGAGAATGATTCATTGTCTCCCTTACCAGTTTTTACACTTGTCATTTCACAAAAACTTCAACTGTCTCCTTTTGCCAAGCCCAGGTAAGGGAGGACTCAATTAATGTCAAACTGATGGTAGCCATGATAGGAAATTCAAAAGAAATCCTTCAAAGTACTGAAAACTAATATTAATCCCCCTTTGTGAGTCTGGCTAAAATTCATTGTTACTCCAAGAGGTACCAATTTATCAAAATAACCTTGTACTGAAATAAATTTGAAACTGATAATTTCATAGGGTTTGAGTCATGCTGTGGACTTGCAATATTCTCCCCCTTGCATGACTAGATTTATCCCTTCAAATTACTGGCTGGGTACACAAATGTCCCCAAAGATCAAAACTTTCAGTTGTGTTTGAAATTCATTCAGTCTGCTACTGGTGAAGTCAGTTACTTGTTATACCCATCAGAAAAAAGATCATTGCATTTTAAAAAATAATGTACCTGTTGACAGCTGACGTTTCAAAATGTATTTTTCATATATTACTGTTATTGCTAAAATATTGAAAACAAATTTGCTCATCAGTGCGTTATCAAATGTTTTTACAAACAAGACTCCCTCAAGTCTCAATCAACATTCCTAACACGTGGAGTAGCTGTGAGTGTTAAATGTTGTCACAGATATTACCCTGTTTCATCCTCAGTTTTGGCATGCCTTTATTTACCAACTCCTTGAACACAGCTGATGCCAAAGGACCTTCCCAAATAACTCTGCACAGCAGCTCTGGAATATTGCTACAAAATCCTGTTTTTCTCCCATAAAAATATGACTTCTTCACATTAAAGGTGCCAGGAAAGGAGAATAAACAAGTGAGGATCACTTTTCCGACATTTGGAAGGAAAATGAGACTTACATTATACACACAGGACTGGCTTTAGATTTACATGAGTCACAGCACATTGGTTCTTCACCTGCTCCCAAACTGGCTTTCTGTGATTTCTATCGATGGCTTTATTTCAGTGGAGCAAATGTCCAAGAGGAAGACAGAGTTATTTTTGATGTAAAAAAACATCAAAATTGAACAGCACAAAGACAATATCATTTATACTGGATATGAAAAAGGCAACGTAATAAAATGTTTTTAGTCCCATGCTATTGCCTTTTTGTCCCTTGGCAGGGGCCACAGAGAAACAAATTGTCTCTCAAGGCCACAAAAGCTGCCTCAAATCCCGATTTCAGATTTTTTAACAACATATTCAGGGCTGTAGCTCCCTTTAAGCCAGTAAGCCCAGGGCTTACAAACTTCTCTCAGTATTTTTATTTTCTCTTGGAATATTTCTTTTATTATTTCATAGCACTAGTTTTCTGGGTGACTTTTTAAAGAAAACGTAGAAGGAAAGAAACAATTTAAGTGCTCATGTCTCCAGCCTTCTTTTCGGGTTTCTTTCCAATGTCTAGTTCTATATTTCCACTGAATAGTAAATTTAACGTGTGCACCAGGGGTTGCAGGTTTTGCTAAATGATTTCACTGTTTTATCTAATATGCAAAGCAATGCTTTCATACACATGCGATCTGACCGACAAGAAAGAGTATTAGAACAAGATGTAGTGGTGGAAAACAAAGTGGCTGCATTCAACTGGAGAATGACCAGCAACTCTGGTTGACACTCTTGACTGCATAAATCCAACTCTTTATCAAAACATCAACACCATCCCCATGATCCTTCTCATTATGTCTGTGTCAACTGCAACTTTTAGCCCGATGCATAGAGTCGAGACTTATCTACGGGCAACCATGAGGACAGAGCGACTCAGCCCTTGCTCCAAAGTATGCATACAAGGACATAGCCATTGACAAGTAGGCCATGGCTCATGAGTTTTGTGGCAAGAAGAATAACCTTGGAATCCCATAAACTTATCTAATCCAGTAGTATTAGGTTGTAAAGTACAATCCCTCATAAGTTCAAATCAGATCTTCAGTTTTTAAGAATTCATGACGAGGATATTTTACAATGAAGTGATTTATCTTATATATCAGCCACCTTGAGCTGTAATAAACCATGAATTAAACAAAGCGTAGGCCTACTTGACCTCCCCCCACCTTCTCTGGCCACTTATGAGTTATGGAACAGGCTTACAAGCCAATCAAAGTGCTCTGTGAGCAAACTCGTGTATTGAACAAAAGAATTAAAATATTTTTTGGATTATGTTTAGTATTATCTGGTTTAGGTTGACTAATAAGGTACCAAAGCAACAAAGTAAACATTTGGATAAGAAGGCATTACAAGTGAAACGATCATGCTAACACATTTGACAAGGGTGGACGAGGTCATGTGTTTTAAAAATTTATCATTTTTGTTGCTGGTTCACCAAGAAATAGTTGGCAGTAAATGTGGTTGAAAAGTGAACATTAGAAATATTGAAAAATCAAGGCAATACTGTCTTAATGAAAAGACAGTTTATCTCCCTTTATCAAATGAGATAAACAGAAACGAGTTTTGAGTTTTGTCGCAAAACGGCATTTTCAGGTTCTGCTTATAACGACGTACAAGGACACGTTCATGACATTTTTGATGGACGTTTCCGATGTAAAAATTCTGTGAAATGTAAAATCTAGGTGATATTTTCATTTAAAGTTGCAACAAGGCGACGGGGAAACATGCGTTATTTTCATTTGTTAGAGCAGAACACTATAATAAGACAGAGACCTGAACGCTAAATATGATTTGCCCGATAGGGGCCTGGTATGAGTCATTCGTACCATGTTGTCCTTGTTATGTGTTCTCATCATTCTTAAGTGAGAATACTTGTTTATATTGAATGTATATCTCTGTGAAATGGATAAATTCCTATCTATGACGAGAACACATTTAACCAAGCAGTGAATAGGCGAAGAAAACACCGACTACAAGCGGATCCTTTCGTCATGCGCCACACAGAACGAAACCATCGATCGCGAACGCCATCTTTGTTTTCAGACAGGAATGAAACTATCCCTCGCCATAGCGAAAGACCATCACAGTAAGACAGATCAAACTACAGTCGAATGGCAAAGAAATACAAGTGCCCGTTTCCTGAATGTACCTACGAAACAGAAGAAGTGACAGACACGCTTGCGGCCGTTTTGCTATCGGTCCCCTCGCAACGCACGCACACTGCTCCAGGAGTCACCGATACTGCACCAAGTGCCGCTTCAAACACTAAACTCCAAAGAGTACAGCGCCCAACAATCTCAGCTGCAGGGTCAAGCAAGGATTGGTCATATTTCCTTACCTGTTGGGGCGATTATGTTGCAGTGACCAATGTCACAGGCAAACACAAGGTAATTCAACTACTCAAATGCTGCAATGAACAGCTTTGCAAAGACCTCACAGGAAACGCAGGCGGCTCCCTCACCAACAAGACTGCTGATGAAGTTATTAAAAAACTTGCCGTGAGGGAGGAGAACACAATGGTTGCCCGAGTTCAATTGCACAACATGCACCAGGACCAGGATGAGACTATTTGTAGTTTTGGTGCCCGCATTTGCGGCCAAGCTGGCATCTGCAAGTTTCTAGTCACCTGCCCTGGTTGCACTAATGAGGTTAATTACACAGAGAACATTTTGCGCGACGTCTTAGCATGCGGCCTGGCTGACAGTGAAATTCAACTAGATCTGCTAGGAGAAAGGAATCAAGACATGACCCTTGAAGAAGTCTTCCAATTTATTGAGGCAAAAGAGGCTGGAAAACAATCCGCTGGCCGCCTGTCACAAAGCCAAGGTGTAGATGCCGCAAGTAGCCAATACCGTTGTGCCAAACAGGATGACATCAAGCAATGCAAAGTTGGAGACAACAATGATTTGTGCTCCTACTGCAACAAGCGTGGCCACGGCAAGAGCGCCCCAACCAGGATACGAAGAAATGACTGCCCCGCTTATGGCACAACGTGCGAACAGTGTGGGCGACCAAACCATTTTGCTAGTGTGTGTCGCGGCAAGAGCAAGTCCACCAGACCCCAAAAGCCTACCCCACCCAGTGGCAATACTACAGAAGGTGCCATCTTCTACTCGCTCTGCACTGCAACAAGCCTCAGCCATTATCCTGGCAGAGATGTCATCAAACTTGACCACCACCTCTACTGCCACCTAACTGACTGTTGGGTCCGACAGCCATCAAAGTCCCAACCATTCATCACACTAACAGCAACTGCCCACCCCGAAGACTACACAGC